AAGTCCGGGATCACCGCGCCGATCCACGTCTTCTCCCTGTGCGGGTACCTGTCCGCGATCAGGTAGTACAGGCACCCCGCGCAGTGCACCAGGAACAGCGTCACCTGCAAAAGTTTCACACAATCTTCAGACAACAAAAAAAATGTCATCCTAATTTTGCTGAAAGATTTCATTTTCCCTGAGAGATCAAAATGGCGTTTACCGCGATGAGCCGGGCGCAGCGGATCCAGAAGTAGTTGAACCTGATGTCCTTCTCCAGCCTGATGGATCGATCAACTACGTGTTGTCAGTTAGATTTCGTTTGTGTATTTCTGTGCCATTGGCACGCATATGATAGCTTTTAACTCTGTTTATTTTACCTTGTGAAGAACTGCTTGACCTTCCTGAGACGCCATAGCCGGAGGATGCCGAGGAGGCTGAACGCCGGGCTCTCCCTGACCTCGCCGGTGACGATGTAGGCAAGGCCTTGGAACGGGATAGTCGACGCCACATCCATGATGAAGAACGTCGACAGATATCTGTGAATGCACAACAAGTCTGCATCACTTAAGTGTTCAAATAATCAAAACGACCAATATTTTTTTCTTTTTCAAAACCAAAAAAAAACTTATTGCTTGGGTGACTGTCGGCAGAGAGGCTGAAGATGAGATCCATTTTCATTAGTTAATTAAATCAAAACGACCAAACATAGCAAGAAACAAAAAAGAAAAGAAAAAGAAAAGAAAAGAAAAGAAAATGAACATCTCTAATCATTTCAAACTTCAGTGGAACAGAAATTCTAAAGCTGTGGGCATGTCAATGATGCTATCTTGGGCACATCTCTCTGATGGACCATTATCGTTGATCTGTAAAGATAATGTAGCTAACAAGAATCTCTAATAATCCACCCAAAGGAAACAGAACCCGCTACAGATTTGATCACGACATTATCCATTTTGGCGTATGCTGAAGCTTGCACACACATGACACACGACTTCTCAGCACCTACTGCTACAGCTGCTCGTGTTTTGCATAAAAAACTTCAGAAATCTCAGTCAGTACGATGTAGGGCCCAGTTGCACTATTATCAAATCAATAATGCAGTCATAAAAAATAAAAGAAATTGTTATTAATGATGCAGTTTGGTTTTGGGTCCCGTTCTGATTTGAAGACCTTTTCTTGGTGATAATAGTATACTGACATGTCCTGTAGCAGATGTTTAATTCCATGATCAAAGTGTTGCCACGTTAGGTATGCCATGAAACTTCTCTAGCATACAGTCACGACTAGGAAATTAAACCACAGCATTCGTCATAAATACTTGATGTATAGCGACCAGTGAGTCAGCGACCAGCTAGTATGGAACTTCACATGAACAAGATCAGCCGGATGGCTTTGCCTTAACGGCACGAGCTATCCCCATCAGGCAGTAAATGATCAGAATAGAAAATCAGCAGCTCGACTAAGACTAGACTCGTATTAAACACCACGTAATGCAGTTGCCATTTTTCTCACCAAAAAGGATAATGGACGAGCAAAACCATTTTTAGACAAAAATATGATCATGCCATGTTTTCTGAAACAAGCATAGCAAGAGTAATTAACATGGCACTCTACCAAATGTTGCGAGCTAAGCTTATATTAGGTGATGAAATTTGAGATGAGATCGACAGTGAGACGTGCGTGAATTACCTGGTGGCAATCCTCCGCCTGTCGCGGACGAGGAGCTGAGTCCTGGAGTCGATGTAGGCGACGAAGAAGGTGAGGACGATGTCGACGGCGAAGAAGAGGTCGACGACGATGTCGGCCACCTCGAGGCCGCCCTTGGGCGACGCGTTCATGAACGCCACCTCGAACGGGTACACCCACGCCGAGTACGCCACCAGCACCACCATGAACGTGTCCCAGCACCTACAAAACCTCCTCTCAAGCTAGCTGAGATCCATGGCGCCATGGCGAAGCATGCGCGAAGAGTGAGAGATGGTGTGTCACCCTCACTGACCTGTATCTGGAGTCGAGAGGCGAGATGACACGCCTGTCGTTGGGGCCGGCATGGCCGGACTGGGCGTGGCCGCCGGCCGGCACGCCGAGAGGCGGCAGGATGAGCTTGGATAGGTTCCGGAGGTTGAACGAGCCGGAGCCCTCGCCGCCACCGCCGCCACCGCCACCGCCGCTGCCGCCGCTGCTACTAGCGCTCTCGAAGCTCGAGGTCTTCATTGCTACCAGAAGACGTTGCACACCGTGCAGCTAGCAAGAAGCTAGCCCGGGGAGAAGAAATGAACCAGATATATACACCGGTATGGAGCCAAAGAAGAAGGCAAAAAGGCAAAGCGAGAACCAGGGCATGTTTAGATCCCGACAAAATTTTTCATCCTATCACATCAAATATTCGAACACATGCATAAAGTATTAAATATGGGTAAAAAAACTAATTACATAGATTGTGTGTAAATTGCGAGACGAATCTTTAAAAACTAATTGCTACATGATCTGACATGTAGTGCTAAAGTAAACATTTGCTAATGCCGAATTAATTAGGCTTCATAAATTCGTCTCGCTGTTTACAGACGGAATCTATAATTTATTTTGTTATTAGTCTACATTTAATACTTTAAATATGTGTCCGTATATTCGATATGACACGTCAAAACTTTTCACCCTGAATCTAAACACAGCCTCAGATCAAGCTAGGCGCATCTCCAAGCAAATAATGGAGCTGAGGCGCGACATGAAAGCATAGAGCATCTATCCATCCATTATTCATCAGTAATGGGGAGGGAAGGTAAAGCGGGGGAGGGTCCAGTGGGTCATTGTCCGGGAAGACAGTGACCAGGCTAAGCTATATAGCTCAGGGGCCGGCCGGTCACCGGTGCGTATATATCTCCAGCGAGCGCGTGCGTTGGTGAATGCACCGTGCAACAACTGGTGGCGGTGCGCGCGTAGAGAGGCAATCCCTGTCCAAAGCGACCAGGGTTTTGGTTGACCGGTTGTGGGCTAGCTGGGCTTGTGGCCAGAGAGGATTCAGAATTCGCCTGTGTGTCGGTATCGTTTCTGCAAAACTAATATTTTTAAATTTTTTATCAGCGTGAAATTAAAATTGATACTAAATAGATAAATTCATAGATATGGAAATTTTCCGACCGTTTTTGTTCGTTTTCGAAAAGATAATAAAATAATGATATCGTTTTCAACCATTTCTAACCGTTTTCATCCCTTCGGATGCTGCAGTGAGCGAGTGAGCTGAGCTCGCTGCCGTACGTAGCAGCCGTGACCGTGTACACGGAATGTTCGCCGATGTGGAGTGATATATGCTTCAAGTCGGGGTGTCCGTGTACACCTGTAGTTATCAATCCTCTCTCAGGTATTCTTTTTCCCAATAGGAGTTTTTGCGTGTACACATGTAGGTATCAGTTCTCTCTCAGGCCTTCTTTTCCATTTGGAGTTTTGCGGATGAGGAATTGATTACTGATAGTGGAGTCTCGTGGACTACGATACAGGTACAACTTCAGGTGTAGGAGCTCCCCCCACGTTTATCACGATCCACAAATGATGGCACAGCGATCGTCAGCAGATCGATCGAGAGCTGCTTGTTTCCAGGGAATAAAACTCTACCTCTTCTGGTAATCTGTGTCCCGCACTATGGCCGTAAAGGCCGGAAATGTAAACCATTTCCATTATCTAAAACTATCATGAATTTTCCGTGCTTTCTGCAGTATCAACCTACGATTGAAAAGTTTTCCACTTTGGATGCATTCCGGGTTAGCTTTATGGCCATCAGGTTAGCTTTGTGCAGTATCAACCGACGATTGAAAAGTTCTCCACTTTGGATGCATTTCGGGTTAGCTTTGTGACAGAGCAAGACTGCGAGAGAGATTGCTTGTTCAGATCCCTGGCTGTCTGCCTGTCTGGCATGGTAGGTGATGAGGTGGTGGTTTCTCCTTATGCAAAAGAAGTTGAACAACGTTGCTGTTTTGCATTGTCAGGATTATCGACGACGATTAGGACGGTTTACCATGACCTCCAAACATTAGAATGTGACGGTTCAGCCAACATTAGCCAAGAGCCCAAGACGATGATGCAGCCAAAAGGCTCGGTACACTGGAAAAAGCTCACATGCTGGCCACAGGAGTGACTGAATTTGCTCATGATAGCACTCCGAGTATGAGATTCCTAGTACTGCCTTCAATACGGGTCACATGATTCACACTGTACACTTAGCTCACTTTCAGTGACGCTGGTGATGACACTTCTGTCGGCGACGCGCCAATTATTGCTGGGTTTGCCTGAAGTTCATCGCCATTTTCTTGACCCGACTTGTTATTCAGCTATTCAAGGATTCAACCAAGGTAGTACAGTAGATAGTATGAAGGCATTTTTTTGAAAGAAGAAAAAAGAATGCCTTCAACCATGGTCGATAGTATGAAGGCATAAACCCAATTCTATCAGGATTGCGTGGAGCAGGTTTTGCCAGAACTCAGAAGTCCAGATAGCAGTTAAAACAGTTTTGTGCAATACTCTGTTTTTGAGTTCATTGGAGCAATTTCACTAAACTACAATTTCACTGCCAAAACTGTAAGAAACTGCAAACAGAGTAAAAACTGATTGGACTCGAAGTTGCAGTTCCAAGATAGTTTCGCGACAAATTTACTCTTGGAATTGGTAGCCTGGGATTCGGTTTGTAAGCCCAAAGAGCAAGGAGGCCTAGGTATTAGGAATCTGAAATTTCAGAACGAGGCTCTTCTAATTCGACGCCTATTTCAACTGCACAACTCCACCTCGACCTGGGCAAGCTGGATTTGGGAAGTATATTCTGAAAAGGAATAAGTTCAATTTGGGTCCCTCTATTTGTCGCACAATCCGATTTTCATCCCTCGACCGCAAAACCGGGTACGACCCGTCCCCCAACTTTCGAAAACCGGGCAAACAAAGTCCCTCGGCGGTTTTGGATGACGTGGCGCCTACGTGACTTGTTTGACTAGTTCTCCATCCCACGTGGCATTGATGTGGCGCTGACATGGCAATTATATCTTAAAAAATAATAAAAATCATGGGCCCACATGTCAGCCATAGAAAAAATAATTTAAAAATGGTGGGTCCCACATGTCAGCTACACTGGTGTGGCCCACGTGGGCCACACATGTCATTCTCAGATAACCAAATCCAATCCTCTTCTTCCTCCTCTCCGGCTCTCCCCATCTCTCTGCTCCCTCCTCTCGCCGGGTGGCGTCCAGCACGGCGGGCGACGGCGGACCGCGCGGCGGCGGCGGGCGGCGCGACGACGGACAGCGCATGGCTGGCGGCGGGCGATGGCGCGCGAGGCGCGTGGGGCAGCGGCGGCCATCTCTCTCTTGCGCCGCTCGCCTAGCTGTCTGCCGCTCTTCTCCCCGGTGGCCGGCGCTCCGGCCCATGAGCTTGGTGAGGCCTACGCCGTTCGCCGCGCTCTCGGCCTCCACGTGCCCGGTGGCGATGGCCTGCTGCGCCGCCTCCACCGTCGTGTGGAACCTGAACGAGCCGCCGTGTCCCCGCCCTCGCCGCTTGGAGATGAAAAAGCCCATGATCTTGATATCTTGCCTGTACAATTTGTCAAGCTGAGTGCAAAGTTAAGTTCTCCACTAATTAAAGAATTAGACGTTCCACGGTATCAAATTGATAAATAACGAAGAAAAAAAATGAAAAAAAATCAGGATTAGAATTTTCCCCACCGTTCGGCCTTTGCAAACAAAAATCATTTTATTCCAAGGATTTTGTAGTTGTAGGTGTACATCCTGAGATGCTTCAGTTCAATCCATGTAAGATCTCAATTGCTGAATGAATCCGTCGATGTACCTCTCATGGCAGGCCATGTCCGCGACGATCTCCTGCAGCTTCTTGGTATTGGCTTGAAACGCTTTGCTGCTTTCTTCCTCCAGGACCTCCACCGCGACTGCACGAATCGCTGCCGCGACGCCTTCTCGGCGTGCGCCAGTATGCTCATCTGAGGAACCCATCTCGTCTCCACGACGCCGCGGCCGCACGAGCGCTCCTCGAAGCCAGCGGGGAGGAGGTCGGTGTCGGAGACGCCAGTGGGCTTCCTCAGAGCCCACAGGAAGCGCGTCCCGGCGACGTCCAGCCCGAGCGCGAGCTCGTGGACCTTATCCACGCGCAGTGGCACCTCGCTGCCTAGCGCGATGTACACGACGGACGACGGACGGTGGCATATCCTCGCCGTCCTCGCGGTGCCCAAGAACTCCGAGAAGGGCGTGCAGGAAGACGACGACGATGAGGCTGGTGCCCCTTCGGCTTCGCGCCGCTGCTCTACCCGCCCCGCCCCGCCACTCCGTCCGCCGCGCTCCGCTCTGCCCGCCGCCGCCCCGTTCATCTGGCCGCCCAGCGCTCCCGCCGCCGCCCGCGCCGGCTACCGGACCTCCCCGGACCTGCCTTCATGCGGACCGGCAGCGCTCCGGTCGGGGGGCGGCGCCGACCACGCCCGCCGCCGCCGCCGGAGCTCGCCTGTTCCGCCACCCACTCGCTCCGTTCGCTGCCCGGGAAGGCGAGAGAGAGAGAGGGGGGAAAGGGAAGTAGAGAGGAGTGAGGCTGACATGTGGGGCCTACGTGGGCCCCACCATTTTAAATTTTTTTTTGCAGCTGACATGTGGGGCCACACTTTTTATTATTTTTCCGAGATATAATTGTCACGTGAGTGTCACGTCAATGCCACGTGGAACGAAGATCTAGTCAAACAAGCCACGTAGACGCCACATCAGCCAAAACCGCCTTCAAAACCGCCGAGTAAACTATGTTTACCCGGTTTTTGTAAGTTGGGGGACGGGTTATACCCGGTTTTACGATCAAGGGACGAAAATCGGACTGGGCGACAAATAGAGGGACACAAAGTGAACTTATTCCTTCTGAAAACTATCTTATGAAACAAAGGCCTCTTGGCCCTCATTGGGCCTCCCTACAAAAACTGCTGCCCTGCCTGCACGAGCTAACTACAGTGGAAGTTGGAAATGGAGCTGGAACCACCTTCTGGCATGACAGGTGGCTGGAGGGAATCATCCTTGCTGAACAGTTTGCAACACTTTTTTCGCACATAAAAAACAAGCAGACCACAGTCCAACATGTCATGCAGAGGTATCTCACAGGAGATTGTTCCACGAATATCTGAAGCCGCTCGACTTCAATTGATTGAACTAGAGGAACTACTTCAGCATTTTACTCGTACTGATGAACTGGACATTCGAAGAAATTCGAAAAGCCTGGGGACAAACTTGACATCTAAGGAGATCTATCAAGCCAGGCTGCCTCCTGGAACAGCTTCTCCGAACTGGATTTGGATTTGGGATTGCAAAGCGCCTATGAAAGTTAAACTGTTTGCTTGGCTTCTTGCCAGAGATCGCCTATCCACAAAGCACAATCTCCTGAAGAAGAAGATTGTTCAATCAGACACTTGCAGCATCTGTAATAGCGGGCCAGAAACGGGTTCACATCTCTTCTTCTCTTGCACATTTGCGACAAGTTTCTGGCACAAAATTGCAGTGCTTCCTTCAGTTCAGGATGTGGCGCAATTGCATCGAATAAAGACAACCCAAGCGATGCCGGAGCTACATTTCAAAGTGTTTTACCTGCTATGTTTCTGGGCAATCTGGAATCACCGACATGATGTTGTATTCAGAGGGATGGAGCCGTCGCTCCAATCATGCCTGCAATGCTGTGTAAGCGAGGCTGCCCTTTGGGCAGATATTTTGAAGCCAGAAGATAGATTTGTAATATCTGCTTGGAAGGCTATTTTTTCTACCCCCCCCCCCCCCCTTCAAACTCTCAATGCTTTGTAATAGAATCAAACTGTGTAACCATTCTTCAATGCAATGACAAATTCAGGTGGGGAATCTCTCCCCCCGGTGAGTTAGTCAAAAAAAAAATTACTCTTGGAATTGAGATGTCAGCTCCAATCAAAAGTACCACGGAAGTAGCCACTACCACCTAGTATTTGATTGCCGTAAAGAATCTACAAATCTATGGTAGGCTAAATTAAAGATGCAACCATGCAAGAAAGTTAATTTTTACCTTTGGTTCAGGAGTCATGATAACTTCACTCACAAAGATTATATACCTTCTTGAAATGGAAAAGATGAGACAAATCTACAGGTAAACATTTCCATCAGAACAAGGCCCTACTAAACACATTCTGCCACATGATAAAGTTCTGCAGCTAAAATATTTAAAGCTCATATGGAACGGAAAATTGTAAGGTACCTAAGCAGAAAAGGCAATGAGAGATGACATCAACTTCGAAACATTATCTCACGTAGCAATCTATATAATGAAGAGCAATAAATAAATACAATAACATAAGCAACATGCCTGTACAAAATTGCTCGAGAGAGGAGATTGAGATCAACTTCCAACGAAAAAATGGCTTTCCTAACTTGATGCTATGATAACTCGGCATTTTACACATAAACTCACTTGTTCAAACATGTGTCAAGTTGCAAATGATATCTGAACCATCCTAGGGCTGCAAATATATATAGGGCTCTCATATATTATACATCAAATCCCGGCATGGCAAATTGTAAGGCAAATGTCTCCACCTGATTCCGGAGTTCAATAATGTCATTATTGTTCTCCAGACCTTTCAGAAAATCCTTCTGAAGCCTTCCATGCTCCTTCAAAACAATACTTGCTATATGTGCTGCCCTCAAAAGGAATTCTGCCATTATCTCAAAGTCACTCTCCAAGCAACCTCTAGTTGTCATGGCAGGAGTTCCTGCAGCATGGTGATGAGCACAAAAGAAATCTACTGTTATGTACATGTCATAAAACAGCATTGAATGATCAACCAGTGTAAGGAGAACTAACCAATCCGCACACCTCCAGGAGAAATCGAACCATTATCTCCATATATTGGTGTTTTATTAAGAGAGATATGACATGCCTCACAGACCTTCTCAAAGTTCTTCCCTGTGCATATTTTAAGGAGCATGGCTAGGTTAGAATTATGGAGACAAGCAAATACGCACTCCCCCTACCCCAGGCAGCAGGTTCTTTTCAGCTTATTTACCGGATTATTGCCACAGATTACTTTCTCCATGTTTCTAAAAATATGTTTTCTCAACAAAAAAAAAAGTTCCTGCAATAATCCATGGATTACTGCATTGTTTAGACTATTTGTTCTAAGCTACTCCCTCTGTCCCAAAATAAGTTCAGTTTTCATCTTTCCCATACATACCAATACAAAACCAAAAAGACTAGAATACCTCCACTTTATCAAATCTCAATACAATTATTCTCCACTTTATCTACTACCAATACATTTATCCCTACTTTCATAAACTCTGATGCAATGATTACTAAAAAAATAAACTTATTTTGGGACATACCGGAGGAGCCAAAATGAACTTATTCTGGGACAAAGGAAGTATTTGTTAAGTTTATTTCTCAAAAATTACTTTATCCATATAACCAAGTAGATAATCCATGGCAACAATCCGGTGAATAATTTGTTTCAAAGCTAAAACATTGCATATAATTGTTACAAACAATTTGTTGATTTGAGGTATCTGATGAATTTTGTCTGTTTACCAAGCACAAGCAATTCTAACAACATAAAAAGGTGGCACTGACACTTAATCTCACTCTCTCAGGCTAAACACTTATTCTGATATTATAACTTAAACAGGTGATGTTTTCTAATCATTTGTAATGCTAATATCTAAAGAGCATAAGTAATTAACGACCTTAACAAGCAATTTGAAAACATGATATTAATTGCTTTTAGTCACACATGCTCATCTCCAGTAGTTTTTTCCCTACAAAAAAATGGTTCTTTACAAAGTTCAATAGCTAGTGCGACATTTTCCTTAAATGTTGTTGAGATGTTCTAAGCATTGATGGCCATAATGCTTTCAGGCTTTCAGCAAATAGCACATGCATGATGTAATGCTTTCAGCCATAATGATGTCCTAAGGTCCTAATGCAGTGTCATGGAGATAATTAATACCTGTCAAGCCAAATGTTCTTAGGTCCCAGAGCATCAAATGATTATCTGTGCCACCAGTAACCAGTCTGCATTTCCTCCTGAGCAAGGCCATCGCCAAAGCTTGGGCATTTTTCTTGACTTGTTGAATGTATGCTTTGAATTCTGGCATGGCTACTTGTTTTAGAGCTATAGCCAGAGCAGCAATATGGTTATTGTGGGGTCCACCTTGCATTGAAGGGAAAACAGCAAAATTTATACGGTCCTCAAAATCATACTGATCATTTTCAACCACTTGAGTTAAAGATCCGACCCGTTTCCTTAGATTTTTCCCTTTCCTGAAAAATATTATACCACCTCTAGGACCCCTCAAGCTCTTGTGTGTGGTTGAAGTAACAATATCGCAGTAGTCAAAGGGATTTCGACATTCCTGCAAACGATACAAGTAACAAAAATACGATCATCAATACAGATTTATATCTCACTACCTACGCACTATAACTCAATAGCATAACTAAGAATGACAATTCTTCAGAAATAGCTGTACAGTATCATTTGTTAAATACACTCTTACTTCTTCACCTTAGGAATTTATACTGTGCTACTTGAAGTAATCAAAACCTGATATCTCTTTAAGCCTTTCCTATGCATATGAATGAATTGTTTAACAATCAGGAATTTACTGTGCTCTTGAAGTAATCAAAACCTGATATTCCCTTCCTATATGCATATGCATTCTTGAACAATTAGGAATTTACTATGCTACTCTCAGCAATCAAAACACCTGATATTCCTTTCCTATGCATATGCATTGTAGTAACTCTTGTTCAGAGATAGGACATACACAGCATTCCACTTCAATGCTGAGCAAAACCAGCCACACTAACAATGTGATAAATGAGTTTTACCTTCGCTGCCACAAGACCACTGATTTGTGCCATGTCACACATGAGTACTGCGCCGCACTTATCAGCAACAAGCCGCATCCGTGCATAGTCCCAATCCCTTGGATACGAGCTCGCGCCGCAGATGAGAATCTTGGGGTGGAAATCCACGGCCTTCTCCTCTACCTTATCGTAATCGATGTACCCGGTGTGCGGGTTCACCCTGTAGGAGAGGTTCTCGAAGAAGATGGAGGCGCCGGAGACCTTCTTGCCGCTGGGCGTGTAGTACCCGTGGCTGACGTGGCCGCCGGACGGCGAGTCGAGGCCCATGATCCTGTCGTTGGGGAGGAGGAGCCCCGTGTAGACGGCGAAGTTGGCGGAGGTGCAGGAGTAGGGCTGCACGTTGACGCCCCAGCGCGACGGGTCGAGGCCGAAGGCGGCGAGCGCGCGGTCGCAGCAGAGGCGCTCGATGGCGTCGATGTGCTGGTTGCCGCAGTAGTAGCGCGCGCCGGGGAGGCCCTCGGAGTACTTGTTGGTGAGGTGGCTGCCGAGCGCGTCGAGCACCGCGCGGCAGGCGTAGTTCTCGGAGGCGATGAGCTCGACCCCGCCCGCCTGCCGGCGCCGCTCCCGCTCCATCAGCTCGTGCACGTCCGGGTCCGCCTCCGTGAGCGGCTGGCATCCCCACGCGCGCACGGCCGCGCGGCGCGCCTCGAGTCCTCCCGCCGCCGCCCGCCGCTTCGCCGCGGGCGAGAGGCAGGAGGAGGAGCAGCACGGGGATGAGTCGTCGTCGACGTCGACGTCGACGTCGTCCCCCACCCCGCGCGCGCGGGGCGGGCGCGGGGGCCGCGGCCGCGGCCGCTTGAGGAAGAGCGGCTGGCCCATGAGGGAGAACCGCCCCTCGCCGCCTTCGGCCTCCTCCTCCCCCACCTCCTCGGCGGCGGCGGCGGACGAGCCCTCGGGCGGCGGCGGCGGGTGGAGGGCGAGGGACAGGTCGGGCCGATGGTCCATCCCTTCGCCCGCGGCGCGGCGCCGCCCCCCCGTCGCGCGATCGAGCATCAGCAGCAACAGCGGCGGGGTCGCGGCATTCGATTCGGACGACGACGTCGCGTGATTTCGTGGGCTCGGTTCGCGTCGCGACTCGCGATGCGATGCGCGATTTTGGAGTTGGGTGGCCTGGGCCAAATTGCGGCGTATTGGTGGGTGGCTACGGCGGGGTGATGACTTCAGTGATGAGGTGGCGAGGGGGGTTTTGGTCTTGGCGGCGACGGGGTCCCGGTCCGTTGCGGGGATCGTATGCGGGCGGCGGCGGTGTGGGCGTGGACTGACTGGAGTGGGGAAGGAAGGGGAAAAGTTCGATTTGACGAGGATGGCGATGGATTCGTGATCAGATCGAGCGTAGCCTGTCTCTTGGATATGGCCGAGAGGCATTGTCCTTTTGTGTGGAATATGCTAAAGAGCATGTCAACCTCTGTTCCAGCTACGATCGAGCGTTTTATAATAGACTTCTCCGAGCTCAAGTGCTCAACATCTCGTGGTAGAGGAATTCTATTTAACACAGTTTTAGACTTACCATAAACACATGCGTATAGCTTACCATCATAAGCGTATTTGAAGAATAAACCAGCATATTTTAAAATTGACAAAAACAATATAATTGTCTTTCTATCAACGAATAGATCACCTGTATGAGAGGAAAAAATGCTTAGTCTCGTGAGCTCAGGTCAAGCTTAGCTCAGGCTCGTGAACCCGAACTAGCTAGCTAGCAAGAACTTGATGTCTCATTTTACTCGGTCAAACTGGGCTAGGCACTAACAAAATAGGGCGTACTAAGCCATTAAAGCGACGCCCGGTTGCTCTGCCTCGGGGGCGACGCGGGCGGCGAAACAAGCCGCGCCGCCCCCGTCCCTCTCCTCCCCTCCCACGCCGAGCCGCCGCCGGCAAAGCCGGGCGGCTGCAAGGACAGCGGCGGCGGGGCTCTCTCTCTCTCTCTCCACCGCTCGCAGTGGAGCTGGACGGGGCGCCGGCAAGACGGAGCGGCAAGGCGCCGACGACGACGACCAGATCCAGCGCCAGGATGCACGGATCCGGTACCCCTATGGCCGGATCTGCTGCTTCCGGGCGGCGGCGACCCGGGTCGGCAAGTCGCGGCGTCGGCGGCGTGGAGGTGGCGGTGTCAGCGGCCGGAGGGCGGCGTCGACAACTGGAGGGCGGCCTCGGCGGCGTGGAGTTGGCAGCGAGGCGGAGGACACGGCGGCATGACCGTGGCTGCGGTGACAAACGGCGAGCGTGACCAGTTCTGGCCGGACGGCTAGCGGCGGTGCTTGCGGCCGTGGTGCAGCTGCGGCGGAGGTGGATGGCGACGGTGGCGGCGGAGGCTGGTGAGGGCGACGACGGCTGAGGCAGCCGCTGCGGTGGCTGGCGATGGTGGCGACGGCTGAGGCAGCCGTGGTGGCGGCAACGGCTGAGGCAGCTGCGACAGCGAGGTGGCGGCGGCGGTTGAGGCAGCCGCAGCTGTGGTGGTGGCTACACGCAGTGTCGACCGTGGATGAGGGGGAGGAGGCACGGCGGCCTCGGACGGCTAGCTGAGGGCGTGGTAGACGGCTGCATCTGGCCGGCGCAGTAGCGTTTGGAGGAGGGGTCGGAGGCCGGCTTGGTACAGAGAGGCGCAGCGGATGGCAGTGGAGGTCGGCTCAGCGCGAGAGGCGCGGGCGGCGGAGATGGAGGCCGGCTTGGCGCGAGAGGCGCGGCCGATGGAGGGAGGCCAGATTGGCGCGAGAGACGCGTCCGGTGGAGGAGGCCGGCTCGGCGCGAGAGGCGCGGCCGGCGGTGGAGGAGGCGACCTTGGTGAGTGGAGGAGCTGCTGGTGGGTGTGGTGCGGTCTTCGGCGCACGAAGGCTAGCCGATGGAGGGCGCCGGTGCAGGGGTCCCACATGTCGGCAGAGGTTGATTGGCGGTGGAGCATCGGTGTGTCAGCCGTGGTTTCGCAGGTGGTGAGCGGCAGGTGAAAACCCAGCCCGGCCTTGGCTGGACCGACAACGATGGTTAATTCCCCCTCCTGAGGGCGTTGTCGTGCTGTCTCGCCCCTTAAGGGTGGTTGCCGGGCAAAAGCCTAGTCCTGGCTCCTTTGAGCCTTGACGGATGGCTGCGGCGGTTTTCCGTCGCTTCTCTTCTTGAAGACGTCGTTTTGGCACCCTCTTGCTGTGTGGCGATCTCGTCTGTGTTCCTTTGTTGGTCTAGCGGCGGTCGGTCCGGTGCTAGCCTTCTCCCGGACTTGTGTTTAGGCGCTGTCGGTGTGTGGGTGGTGGTATTTTTTTTCTTTTTCCTGGTTACGACCCTCCAGGGTTGTAATCTTGTAATTTTTTCCTGCTATGTCAATAGAACTTCGCACCGTCTTGTGCGAGTTGTTAAAAAAAAAGCCATTAAAGCAAGTACTATAAAAACTCATGTGTTACTTCTGAAGTGTCACATATCGGTAAACACATGCCATTCTTTCTTTTCCTTCTTGGCCCCTATCCTACATTTCTTGTTTCTCTGGTTCACGAAGGTGGTAGACAACGAGCTCGACCTCGTCGACGGAAGGCAGGAGTGCAGTGGTGCTTGGAAAGGAGGTGATGGTGGCAGAGAAATAGCAGTAGTAGCAAAGCTCATTGGAGAGAGAGGTCGGAATCGCTACCCTCGTCGCCACTAGGGAGTCATCGGATTGAGCGACGCTGCCGCCGCCGCTTCCTGCCATCGGAGCAAGCCCGTGAGGCGCGCAGAGGAAGGTGGCCTCATCGGTGGTACGGAGGGGTTCCAGCCGGCCACGGAGGGGGTTCTCAGGTTCCCGACTTTGTCGTTGCTGCCATGGGAGAGATCGTGGTGGCGGTCCTAATGTGGCGTCGTTGCCGCACGGGGTAGATCAGCACGGCGGAGGTGGCGGCGAGGAAGCGGACGAGCTCGGCAGAGCGACGTCGATGGAGGCTGAGCTCAGCCACAGGCTAGCCGCCATACCATTTGCCGCGCTAGCCGAAGGAGGATCAGGTTGCCACGGAGACTCGTCGCCACCCCATCCCCATCCCCGTCCCCTGTGCTCCGCCGCCCCTACCTTGGTTGAGCTCCCCCATTTTCATCCCCTTCGCTCCATCGCCGCTGTGTGGAGGGGATGCGGCCATCGGCGTCACAGGAAGCTGTGGAGACCCACTACCGTCCGTCCTAATTCCCTCTGCTTCGCTGCCTTTAACACGGTCGAGCTTCCTGTTTCCATCCCCTCCGCTCCGTCGCCGCTGCCCATCCCCATCCCCTCCGCTCCACCGCCTACGCCGTGGTCAAGCTCCCCCCGTTTCCATCCCCACACCCCGCTCCGTCCCCATCATGTGAAAGAGGATGTTGTCGCTAGCATGGCTCTTCCTCTCCTCTCCTCTCTCCATTGGCGAGCTCGTGCGACCAACTCATGCTGAAGGGGGAGAGCTGTCACCGGAGAGATGAAGAAAAAGAGGAGATAGATGAGGAGAGAGGAGAGAAGATGATATGGACCCATATAAATGCCACTCACCAAAATTACCAGGTCCTACTGCTATGTAGGTGTTACATTAGTCAAAACCGCTTTGTATACTGTTGAGAGATTCGATTTACACCAGTTTTTTTTAACGAATCGGCAAGCTGCCAATTTCATTTAATAGAAGAGGATTAAACTTTACAAGTGTGAAACCAAAAAACAAAGCTCAGTACCTTCGGTCCGAGCAATTAAAAAAAAAAGCCAGGACCAGGCTTAGAGACCTTCGGTGAGAGATTCGATTTACACCTGTTTGGAAGATGAAGGATGCATTGTATATGGTACTGTGGTTGAGGGATGAAATCTAAACTCGGCTCTTACATGAGGGAAGTAAAGTGAACTTGTCCTAACTTGTATTACGGGCTTAAAGCCCAGGTCCTAGTAGGCAATCCATTGGATCTGCTTGGGATATAGACGGGCCGTAATTGCTACCACCCACCACTCTGGTAGCCCAACCGATCACACACACACATATGGACGAAAATGTTTGATCAGTGCTCGACGCGAAGCCCTTTGCGTTCGTCTATGATTGCACAACTGAACAAGGGCTAATGCAGATGGCAAACTCACTTCAGGGATGCTACATCGTTTTCTTGTTAGTTTATCCACCGCAGCCAAAATTTAAAATTTGAAGTTGATTTTAAGTGTTTTCTTACTATAATTTATTTACCAGCTTGATTGTTAAAGTGCTGAGAACACAAATATATAAGTTTTACCCATAATTTTTTACACTGTTTATTTTTTTTCACTGTAGCGAAACCGTTTCAGCATTCAACCCATCCGTTGCCGCTGTCACAACAGAGGGTTGTTGAAGATCACGTCAACCAAAGAGCACGCGCAAATTCGACCACCAGCTTTCCAAAATTCAACATAGCTTTTGTACGCGAGACACTCGGAACGGGGCGCTTGCAAAAAGCAGCAAAAATTGGGCGAAAGGCGCAAGATTCTCTCTTTTGTCACCCTCTTGTTCTGTGTTTGATTGTTTCGGCATTTTTTTCTCTCTGTACATTTTGTTACAAGGCAATTTCATCAGCTTTTCTCTAACCCACCTGCTTAGAACAAATTACTGGCTAGCCGTGTGAATCTAAAATCACTCTTGTACTTCTCTGAACTACTGTCCAGTACACTATGATTTACTTCTTCAGTTGTTCCAACAACCAAATGTGACCTCGATGTCCATTTTGCCTGTACACATTCATCTTTACAGTTCCATCAGGCCCAAGAAACGAAAATTTTGCGACGGAACGGCATCATGTCGTGCTACCTCAAGACCCAAGGCCTGAATCCTGGAGCTTTTGATCGTTTTCGGATGCGCGTTTTCACATGCGTCCAGTGATTGAACAGAGAAAACTTCGCAAGGTCCAGCCTTTTTGTTTAGTCAGACAGCAGAAACGAGAAACAAATTAGTAGCAATTTCATCTTCAGAACATGCTCCCAGAACCAAGTTTTCATTCAACAATGAATAGCCCATATGTATGGCATGGCAGTATGCCAATCTTAAGCTAGTAATTAATTTTTGATCGATGTCTGACAGATAAAATTACAAAGATTTGATCACTGTCAGTATTTGCTCGTAGAGCCGTTTGGCAAAAGAGAATACTAGCAGCAACTGTAGCTTTTCCTGTTCCCAAAACGAGCTTGCTTTTGAGTTTTCCTTTTTCTTTCCCGTTACCAATCATTTCGATTAGTTGTATTTCTCCCTTCCTTTTGCCCCATCTCTCTTTCTCGTCTCCTTTTATCAGGTTTTGACAAAGAAAAAAAAAGCGAGAAGCTACA